AATCTTCAGGCATATATATATATATATATATATATATATATATATATATATATATATATATATATATATATATATATTATTAGGCAACATATATTTTACATTATAAAGAGGTAATCAATTAGTAATATTAATGTAATTAATGCCGAATTGTCTTCGCTAACAGACATAATATAAGTATTAACTTACAGATAATCAACTGAAAGACGCGATCCTTGTGTATAAAATTGTTTTCAGATGGATCTGGTGTATTTTTAGAGCAGCAAGTACTTTCGACAAACTTCATGCTTTCATTGTCAGGCTGTATTTTTTATTTAGAAATAAAACTCCAACACGAATTAAACACATTTTAGACCGAACGACTTTTTTTGTTAAGAATGTGTTATTTATTAACGGTTATATAATATGCAACGTGCAAGTACGCCATTAATTACATTAACATTACTAATCAATTCCTTGTATGAATGTATGTATATATATATATATATATATATATATATATATATATATATGTATATATATATATATATATATATATATATATATATATATATATATATATGTGTGTGTGTGTGTATGTTTTATGAAATGGACAAAGTCCGTCGACAATTATTTTAAGATTTTTTGTTGTGGATTCCAAGATATATATATATATATATATATATATATATATATATATATATGAAATGACTATGCAGAAAATTTGTATATCCAACAATATAAAAAAACCTATGTGCTAAATTATCTGAAAGTTTCGATACGGACTTTGCACCATAAATGAAACACCATAAGTGATAAATACACAGAGTCAAAAATACTATTTTTCTTTTATAGAAACACAAATCGTAAATGCGAATAAAACTTATGATCAAATGTTGGTTAGATTAAAAGAAAACCTGACTATAAAACTTGTTTCTTTAGAATGGATAGATAGAAACACACAGAAATACAAATTTGGAACAAAATGAATTGTACACCGGGTAACAAAAAAAAAACAGATCGTAACTTGTACCTGTTTAGTTTGCTTTATTTTGTTTTACGGCATATGAACACTTCAATGTGTTATTTAATGCCGACAAGATTTTTAGGATAGTTTCACATGGATAAAATATGTATTCTTCGTAAGAAATCAGTTTGTAGATCTATTTTCGTAATTTTGGTTTTTGTCGAGTGTCAAATGTATTGCTGGTAAAAATTCTTCTCTAAAAATGTATTGCTCGTATTTTTACTATAAATTTTTAACATTTTAATACTTTTTATCATGTTTTGAATCCAGTTTAATATTTACCCCTATTTGGAACCCTAACAGATGCTACCACCCCAAGTCACGGTGGACCTGGAAACAATAGCGATTAAGAGGTGGTTCCATGGTCCTGAAAACCTCTCGATCAGAGGCCTTGTGCCGGGTGTAGTTTATCTTCATACCCAGCTCTTACATGTGGAATCGATTGTTAAAAACGCAAACGAATAGCAAATGGAAATAAAGCGTTTTGATCAAAGTCTGGTCAGATTAAAACCAAAGTCGGACTACAGAACTTGTACCCATAAGAAACACAAACCGATCTTAAATAGGAATAAATAGCTTGGACGATGTTGGTCGGCTTTAACGTGGGTCGAATTACTGGTTTTGTTCCAACAGGATTGTTTGTTTGACACCCAACATATAGTAAATAGGAATAAAATAAAAATGTTGGTTGGATGCAAATATAGCCTTTTATTGGAATTACTCCCTTAAATACTTCGGTAACTTTGGAAGCACGCCTTATTCTTCTCTGCTGTGATAACGATTTGCAAGCTTAAAAGAAATGACTATTTTAAGGTATTAAATTCAGTTTTGCTTGAAATAGCACGCGCGTTGACGGGATGGGGCGAATGTCGACTTCACCGCACATTAATGTCCAGAAGAATGAAAGAGAAGGAATGGAGAAACGATATCGTGCCACAATTCCTTATTTAAAGAAACTTTGCCGATGGTAAGGAATGCGTTAATTAAACTCAGTTCTTCGGATTTCGAGAAAGACAACTTTTTCTACTTTGTTTTTCTTTTCTCGGTCGTGAGATCTAAACTTGTGACGGCAAACGAAGAAAATGACTTATTATTTCTTTAAGACACGAACTTGGCTTCCGTGCTTAAACACAAGAACAGCGAAAGCACAATCAAATTAAGACAATTACGTCCGTGTGTATTTTTGTTTCTATAGATTATTCGTATTTCAAGTAAATAGAATTTAGAGAATTCCTTCACACATGCACATACACAAGCATATATATAACGATATGGTTTGAGAATCATGAAACTGCTTGTTTTGATTATCTGTCTACTTGGGATATTGTATTTACTTACACTATTTACATTGTTCGGACTGTTGTCGTCTTCTTCGTTGCTATATTCACGAGGTTTCGGCCCTTGTACGCTCCTTCTTCAGGGGATTTGAATTTCATATTGAACCCTTTATTTCATCAGCCAGGGTAAATGGTTCTAGTTCTACGTGCCATGCCTCTTCCGGATATCTCAGTTTCAGTTATCTCCTTTTAAATCAACTCTCCAAATATTTTCACCTCCGCTGTAGCCAGGTATTGAACACACAACACTTTGGGGTTTCTGGATTCAAACATCGATTTTATCCACTGGGCCATGTGTCATTTTTTGAGACTTGTAAACCTAATGACTCAGTCACCATTTTTTTTTTTATCAGAGCTCTTATTACAATTTTGTTGTTATTGTAATTTTTCTCTAGCACTCTTTGTTTTCATTTCGCCGGCACTGGAGATTTTTGTGGCCGAGCATATGCGCTGATTCCTTGAGTTTTCGTATTTTCTAGTGGTATTCTCTGTTAGTTACGCCTGATTTTTCTCTTTCCCCTCGTGTTACGGCTTTACGGTATTCCCGCGATCTTATCTTAATGGGTTGTCTTGTTTCTCCTTTATATTTCTTGCCACAGCTGCATGTGATGCTGTAGATACAGTCCTTAATCATGTTCTCCTCTATGGGAGGTCTTACTCAGAAGAGGTGTCTGCTAAGCGTTGAACCACCTTTGAAGGTTGCCCTTGTGTTATATGGATTTATTATTTCTTTAAGACACGAAGTTGGCTTCCGTGCTTGGATTTTTCCGATAATCCTTTCACATAGGATAGACAGACGGAGGTTGTTTTCTGAGTTGTTATTCTCTTGCACCCTTCTGCCCCAGTTTTGCTGTCATGTACCCAGAGTAGTTTTTACGTTGTAGGGTACTGGTTATACTTATCATTTCTTGTGTATATGTCTCTTGGTACCACTTATGACATTTGTTCGATGTTGTAAGCAGCGGACGATTCCTTTCTTTACACTATATAGGTATGCCCAGTTAAAGTTTGGCTTGCGGTATATCTTGTCCTGTTCAAGATATTAGTACATCTAGGAATGCTAGTTTTGCTGTTGTTTACTCTCACCATCCTTAACTGTATCGATGATTTTATTTACTTCACATTGTCCAGTAGTAGCTGGACCTCCTCCTGATGTAGCAAAAGTATGGAAGTGTCGTCTACGTATCCCAGTCATAGAGTTGACTTTAGTGATGTAGATTCTAATGCCATTTCTTCGCAGTATTCCATGTATATATTAGCCATTGCTGGTGCTAATGGTGATCCCATTCCTAAACCTTAGTTCTGCCGATATATGTATGATCCCATTCTGAAGTGTGATATTTATGTACAGAATGTCAGCATCTAAACCATGTTATCTATTGGTATACAGGTACGTTCTCCGAGGCCCGTTTGTACCTGACTAACCATAATGTATCCCCCGTGGATACCTTGGTGAACAAACTCATCCTGTCCACGCTTACCATCTGGTTGGTTTGGATGCGAGTAACTTTGATTATTTCCCCGAATATGATTGGTGACTTTCCGATTAATGGGTCAATTATATCCACGAGTAAGCGACTCAGAGGGTGGCACAAGGATCCTTGGCAACTAACAACTGGCTTGGGAGGAATATCGTTTGTGTGAATTTTGGGAGACTGTATATGTGTGGTAGCTTGCTGTAACGTTGTGTCAACTGACTGTATGTCTTAGGTGGGAAGTGGTCGTTGTTCTTGACTAGGATATGCGACAGATTTCATTCTGTTTTTGTTATATAGGAATAAAGTGTCGCTACCGACACTTGAGTTTGAACATAGATCGCCAGTAAGCAAACACAGGAGATCCCATTATTGAATTAAGTAGTCCTTAAGGACACATGGCGCAGTGGATAAGGGCGTTGGTTAGATCCAGTGATAGTGTGAGTTCAATACCTGGTTAAGGCAGTAGAGAACTTGGAGAGGTCACTTAACAGGAGATATCTGATAACTGATATCCATTAGATATGGCACGTGGATCTAGAACAGTCTACCCCATCGAGGAAAATAAAAGGTTCAGTTCAACATTCCAACCACCTGAAGAAGGCCGGAGCGTACAGCGGCCTAAACGTTGTGATAAACATGACAACAAAGATGAGGACAATAGTCGATACTCTATGTGGATTTTTTTTTGTTTTTGTTATATACCGTAACTATGAAAACTAATCTGTATGTCCCAATCCTCATAAATACGTTGGACACTATTGTAAGAGAAGATAATATGGTGTCTAAGTAGTCCACCACTAGCAGTGGTTTCCCTACTTCACGCCGTTGTACTGTACTGTACTGATGCGGCATTCACCCTGGGCGGATTAAGCCGGATTCTTCCTGTTGCGAGAAGAAGATTCTTGGGATAAATTACAGAAGTAGGGTACCCAGGCTCACTCGGATAACGTTCTTGCTTTGCCACGGGGTTCCCACAGACGCAGAGACAGGAACGACCAGAAGCCGCCGGTTACCGATGCAGACGCTCCTTGGATTTTCACCAGAGCCCTTGTTAGCCGGCGTGTGTGTCAGACCTGTCCGCCTTGGGTGGCCCTACCAGGAACGAAGTTCGGGCGGCATAGCTCTGACACTACTTGTTTACACCCCCCCCACCGACTGTGAGGTAAGGGTTGGACTTTGGGGCTTACAGTACCAGGTATTTAAGCGGTCCCCCATCTAAGTACTGACCTGGCTCTACGATGCTTAACTTCGGTGATCGTACGAGAACGTGATTTGACCTTTAGAAGTCTAGTTTCCTAACCGAAAGAGACCGGGGAAGTAAAAGAGTGGATCTAGGGATATTTTTAGGGGATTTAGTAACATAGCCGGAAATAAGGTTTATCCAGTTGCATGTCTTTTTATTTATTTATTTTTTTAAGCATTTCACCCCAAGCAAGGTGGAATGCCACTAGTACGCAGGGGGTTTACAGAGAGTGGGAGCGAGTATTATATTTTGTTGATGTTTTAAAGATTACCATTTCATTTCCAAATTGCGTTTTGGTTATTCTTCAATCAGTAACCCTTACAACAATTTCTAAATGCAATACGAATGATTTGTTTAAAAAAAAAAACAAAGAAAAAAGACGTCACAATTTAAGTCACGATCAAGGTTAAAATTTAAGATCAAATTATGCCAAATCAACATTAATTTGAAAAGTGCTAATCAATAATTTTAATGCCATTTCCCGACTTCATTTATTTTGAAAGAATTTTGACTGTTTGACTGGTGTAATTAGTAATGGATTTTTATTACAGCACGAGCCTAGAAGCAACTCTTCGGGCGGACTTTAGGCTTGCTGCTGCGGAGAGCTTTTGGACCCTGGGTTCTTCATTTTCAGCGTCCTATGTACGTAAAATTTATAAGAATTTCGAATTCATCTTTATTCGATAGCTCACTTCGACATAATCTTTCTTCGTATACGCCTCCGATCTCCGTAGTTCATATTTCTTTCGCATGCAAATGTTCTTTTCTTTTAAAATCACCATTCTTTATGATCCCTTCACGTAAAGTCATTCTTCTTAAAAGACAACAGGAAACCCAAAATATGTAATATTTCGAATACGTCACAGTACATGTGCTAGAAAAAGAAAAGAAAAACAGATGAGCAATGTACCGTGCCCTCTTTAAGTTTTAATTACGGCTTAATTAGACGATATCATTTACTATTGCGACGAAAAGCGAAATTAAAATTAAACCTTTAATAACGAATTGTTTTCTTTTGAAATCTTTCCCTCTGTTTGATATTTAAATTTAACTTTATATGAGTTATAAGAATTTAGAAATAATAACATTATTTTATCTTTATTCAACACCTTAATTCGGCATAATCTTTCTTCGTATACGCAATCGATTTCCGTAGTTTGTTTACATTTATTTTGTGCGGAATTTATATTTTCTTTTAAAGTCACCATTCTTTATTATCTCTTCACATATAGTCATTCTTAAAAGAGATTAGAGAACCCGAACTATGTAATATTTTGAATATGTCACAATACATGTGTTAGAAAAAAAAACATATGAGCAACGTACCGTACCCTGCTTAGGTTTTAACTACGGTTTAATTAGACGATATCAATTGCAATTGCGACGACAAGAGAAATTAAAGTTAAACCGTTAATAAAGAATTGTTCTTTTTTAAACCTTTCCCTCTGTTTAAATTTAACTTTAGATGAGTTATTTATTTAATTTTTAATCGCCTGTAACTAAAGTAGTTACTACCTGTTACTTCGGGTTGTTTATGATTCGCCGAGGTCGAAAAACGGACGGACGGACGGACGGGTAGACGTACACTGCGCTTTATTTACATAGATTTAGAGTTTATATCAGATTTTATGGTGTGAGTTAATGGGTTAAATTGGACTGAGATCACCCTCTCATTTTTTTTAATCTCAGGTATAAACATATATTGGTAGGATTATGCCAAACATATCCTTTGGTTTCTTTTTAGGTTCTTCCTTCAAAGAATCAGATGGTTGTGCGTAACTAAAACTTCACCTAATTTAGAAATAATTCTTAACAATTATTCTATTGGCTAAAATTGCTGTTTTAGAGTACCCCTTGCTTAACTTAATTTGGAAAGATTTCAAATTATTGATCAAACGACCGCTGTTGGGATCATAGGGTTATTGTATAATTTCTTTAGTTATATAGTATGTGTTTCACCAGGTCTACACAAGTGTTGAAACTTAACTAATGCATGGAATAATAATGCAACACAAAATGTACTTAGAACAAAATGTATTGAAACAAGAAAGTGTAAGCAATATTTACATATAGTCTTTTGCATATTCCTGTTAAGACCGTTCCTGGAGAATGTGTTGACTGAGTCGCAGTCGGGCAGAGTCTCTGGTTGAATCTCTTGATTCCTCCCTCTCTTCCTGGTACCAACCATATTTATATGGTCGGGACTCCACTATGCAAATTAGGTGGATCCTACCACAACAACAAGGTTTTTGAATTCAGAGTTCTCCTTCTTCTTTACTGGCTGCTAACCAAGGGTGATTGGCTGTGTCTGTTCTACAAATTGATTCATAGCTGGTTGGAACAGATGGGTGGGGGAATGTTGTATTCATGCCTTTCTCAAAGGAATTCATGTTCAAAGTTGTTGTAGAGTAGTTTACACAGTGGAGGCTTGTATTTCAATAAGTCGGTCCTAAATTAGGTTCCGACGTACAAAACGTTAGAAACTTGAAATAATAGTTAATGTCGCAGCAATCTAGTTGTGGGGCTCATACTTTAATGTCCGACATCGACTGACTCACACAACTCACTCAGCTTCACTAGCGACTGCTACTACTACTACTTATCTCTGGGACAGTCTATTACAATAGAAATAGGTACGTTCCGGTATAAAAAAAAGTGAATGTAACGAAACTCGACTTGAATTTGACCTCGGCTCTCCGATTTCTCCGCTATCCTTTACGCACCCGCACTTTCACCAGTCCAGGGTAAGACGATAAACTACGTCCAACAGCAAGGCCACTGATCAGGGAGGTTTTGAGGAGCGTGGAACCACCTCTTAATTGCTGGCGTTCCCAGGTCCACCCTGACCCGGGGTGGTAGCACCTGTTAGGGTAGCAGCTATGGGAAAAAAGTTAACCCCGAAACTGAGGTAAAAATCATTATGAAAGTGTAAAACTAGGTTTCAATACCAGAAATACTTTTTAAAAAATTATTACCAGAAATAATTTTTTGAAGAAGAAAAACTATTACCAGCAATACGTTTTTAAAAGAAATATTACCTGCAATACATTTCTGAAATTATATTTCCAGCTATACATTTTGAGGAAAAAAAAATATTACCAGAAATAGATTTTTGACAAAACAAAAATATTACCAGGAAAAAAAGTAGTCGGCATTAAATGACCCATTGAGGTGTTGATATGCCGTAAACTAAACCAAACTGTACTTACACTAAAAGAGAGGAAACACAACAAATTGATTTTACCACATTTCATCTCTTGCTGGGTTATCCAATGCTGATTTTTTTTTTATATTCAGAGACGATTGAACTCACGACTCAGGTGCCACCGGGTAAAATTCGCTAGCCATTATCCAAGCTACAAGGCACCAAAGGCGTTTGGGTTTTCATATAAATCTGTTCTTTTTATTTTTAGTTTTAAAGAACTGTGTGATCAATACCGAGGTGTCTAGAATGATTCCAAGCTTCTTTGTTTATCTCTTTCCTATCTTGAGGATAATTCTCATTTTCTGTCTGGTCTGCCATTTTTTATGAATTCCATCAGACGCGGAACTAGTTTGAGAGAAGAATTGCCGTTCTGGGCAATGTCTTGAATGTCTCCTTAATATCTCTCGGCTTGAGTTGATAAGTCCCATACTTCTTCATTTTTTCGCATATAAGACAGTAATTCGCTGTCTGATCTCCGTTTCGCTTGGTAAACCTAATCGATCAGAATACTTTTTAGTATTTCACTCAGTATTTGACCAGGGCTCATCTTTTTTTTTGTCTTCGTCTTAAATGCATTGAGGAAACACATCATCTATGTCGTTCTTGAACAGCCGATACATTCACCCCCTCCACACCTAGATTTCTGGTCATAGTTGTCTCCACACAGCAAAGAGGGTGGCAAATATCATTTCAGACCAGTTAAATGGAGCACAGAAACGTTTTGCCAATAAAAACAATTTTCGCAGAAAATTAGGTCGTTTCACGGGGATCAAGAAATAAAATTAGAAATGGGTGTAACGCAAATTATCCGATGTATCAAATGAAAACAGATTATTCACTTGTTTTTTTTTTTTAATATTTTTCGTTATTTAATCTACAAAGAGAGTTCATTCTCATTTCGCTGTCAATGTCTAGGGATATATCGTCCTTGTTCTTTCTAATACAGCTTATTATTGCTAGTCCCTTTTCCCACTGGATTTCGGTCAGTACTACCCGGCGCAGGGATCGAACTCACACAGATGCTACAACATCATGATCCTAATTGTTTTCCCGTGAGACCACCCCTGCTCCGGGACAACAAATCCAGTTTGTAAAATGTGTAATAACTGCTAGATGGAAAAATGATTGATTGATTAATTTGCTCTTTACGGTTTATGAACACTTTTCAGGTTATTTAAAGCCAGAAAATGTTTTTAGATTGCAAGAATTTTTAAAAAAAATTTTGTGGGGGAGATAATAATACTTTATTGATACAAGTTCTACTAATTAACCTATAGACGATAGGGTCATAAGGAGGATCTATACTTTTCCGAATGTCATTTGCGTGTACGTTAATAAAACGAACACGACTAGAATCGGAACTTGCATATCCAAGCTTACACCTGATATTCCCAAGCGGTCACCCATCTAGCTACTAACCAGGCCGAACCTTCCTTAACTTAGGTGATTGTATGAAAATCCATGTCATAACGTGATATAACCCTAAGCTATATCCTATATTACAGAACCCGGAATTACCAAGCGGTCACCCATCTAGCTACTAACCAGGCCGAACCTTCCTTAACTTAGGTGATTTTACGAGAATCCATGTCCGAACGTGATATAACCCTAAGCTAGATTGAAGTACCCGGTATTCACAAGCGATCACCCATCTAGGTACTGACTAGGCTGAATGTTCCTTAACGTAGTTGACTGAATAATGACTAGTCTCTGAATGTGATATAGCTGTAAGCTATACTGCCTGCACATTCAAGCTTACAGCATTTGGTATTCCCAAGCGGTCACCCAGACTCGAAAACTGCTTAGATTAGGTGACCTATGAGAACCGGTATCTCAACGTAATATGGCCATATATGCTATACTGCCTGTACATTCAAACTTACAGCACCCGTTATTCTCAAGCGGTCACCCATCTAGGTAGTGACTAGGCTCGACATTGCTTAACTTCGGTGACCGTACAAGAACCGGTGTATCTACGTGATATGGTCATAAGCTATACTGCCTATACATTCAAACTTACAGCACCTGTTATTCTCAAGCGGTCACCCATCTAAGTACTGACTAGGCTCGACTTTGCTTAACTTCGGTGACCGTACGAGAACCGGTGTATCTACGTGATATGGTCATAAGCTATACTGCCTGTACATTCAAACTTACAGCACCTGTTAATCTCAAGCGGTCACCCATCTAGGTACTGACTAGGCTCGACTTTGCTTAACTTCGGTGACCGTACGAGAACCGGTGTATCTACATGATATGGCCGTAAGCCTCAAAAGACGAAAATAACACCAAAAAGACACCAGAAAGAATCAGTGAATATGCGCAGGTCAGCCCAAAAACCAAAAGGAAGTATAACTAATTTTTATAGATTATAAAAAACATATTGATAAAAATAGACCATAAACAAATGTTTGAATTGCAAGGTAGGATTGATTTATGTAAGAACGATATTAGAACAATCTAGAACGTATACGGGAAGTAAACCACCTGCATACCAATAGAAAATGAATTCAGCAAATACAGAAACATTGGAAAGGGGTGTAAACCAAGAATATATATTCTTACAGGGTGTGTACAACCTTTACAAATAGTTGTCCACCACTAGCAGTTGTTTACCTATTTCACGCCGCTGGCGAGTATTGTATTTTGTTTATGTTATAAAGATTACCATTTCATTTCCAACTTCCGTTTTGGTTTTCCTCATTCAGTAACACCTTTCTAGGTTGAACACTATAAAAGGCGTTGGAATGTGATTTTAATATGAAAATGCATTGCAAAGTGATTTTAATATGAAAATGCATTGGAAAGGGATTTTTTTATGAAAATGCATTGGAAAGTGATTTTATTATGAAAATGCATTGAAAAGGGATTTTACTATGAAAATGCATTGGAAAGGGATTTTATTATGAAAATGCATTGGAAAGGGATTTTATTACGAAAATGCATTGGAAAGGGATTTTACTATGAAAAATGCATTGAAAGGGATTTTATTATGAAAATGCATTGGAAAGGGATTTTATTATGAAAATGCATTGAAAGGGATTTTTTATTAAAAATGCATTGAAAGTGATTTTATTATGAAAATGCATTGGAAAGTGATTCTACTATGAAAATGCATTGGAAAGGGATTTTATTATGAAAATGCATTGAAAGGGATTTTACTATGAAAATGCATTGGAAAGGGATTTTATTATGAAAAATGCATTGAAAGGGATTTTTTACGAAAATGCATTGGAAAGGGATTTTACTATGAAAATGCATTGAAAGGGATTTTATTATGAAAATGCATTGAAAGGGATTTTATTATGAAAATGCATTGGAAAGGGATTTTATTATAAAAATGCATTGGAAAGTGATTTTATTATGAAAATGCATTGGAAAGGGATTTTACTATGAAAATGCATTGGAAAGGGATTTTACTATGAAAATGCATTGGAAAGTGATTTTATTATGAATATGCATTGGAAAGGGATTTTATTATGAAAATGCAATGTAAAGTGATTTTACTATGAAAATGCATTGGAAAGTGATTATACTATGAAAATGCATTTGAAAGGGATTTTACAATGAGAAATGCATTCGAAGGCTATTTTATGATGAAAATGCATTGGAAAATGATTTTATTATGAAAATGCATTGCAATGTGGTTTTACTATGAAAATGCATTGGAAAGTGATTTTATTATAAAAGACTATTGAAAAGTGATTTTATTATGAAAATGCATTGGAAAGGGATTTTATAATGAAAATGCATTGAAAGGGATTTTATTATGAAAATGCATTGAAAAGGGATTTTACTATGAAAATGCATTGGAAAGTGATTTTATTATGAATATGCATTGGAAAGGGATTTTATTATGAAAATGCAATGTAAAGAGATTTTACTATGAAAATGCATTGGAAAGGGATTTTATTATGAAAATGCATTGGAAAGGGATTTTACTATGAAAATGCATTGGAAAGGGATTTTATTATGAAAATGCATTGGAAAGGGATTTTATTATGAAAATGCATTGGAAAGTGATTTTATTATGAAAATGCATTGGAAAGTGATTTTACTATGAAAATGCATTGGAAAAGGGATTTTACTATGAAAATGCATTGGAAAGTGATTTTATTATGAAAATGCATTGGAAAGTGATTTTATTATGAAAATGCATTGGAAAGTGATTTTATTATCAAAATGCATTGGAAAGTGATTTTATTATGAATATGCATTGGAAAGGGATTTTACTATGAAAATGCATTGGAAAAGGGATTTTACTACGAAAATGCATTGGAAAGTGATTATACTATGAAAATGCATTGGAAAGGGATTTTACTATGAGAAATGCATTCGAAGGCGATTTTATGATGAAAATGCATTGAAAATGATTTTATTATGAAAATGCATTGCAATGTGGTTTTACTATGAAAATGCATTGGAAAGTGATTTTATTATAAAAGACTATTGAAAAGTGATTTTAATATGAAAATGCATTGGAAAGGGATTTTATAATGAAAATGCATTGAAAGGGATTTTATTATGAAAATGCATTTTTATTGAAAATGCATTGGAAAGGATTTTATTGAAAAATGCATTGAAAGGGATTTTATTATGAAAATGCATTGGAAAGGGATTTTACTATGAAAATGCATTGGAAAGGGATTTTATTATGAAAATGCATTGGAAAGGGATTTTACTATGAAAATGCATTGGAAAGTGATTTTATTATGAAAATGCATTGAAAGGATTTTATTATCAAAATGCATTGGAAAGTGATTTTATTATGAATATGCATTGAAAGGGATTTTATTATGAAAATGCAATGTAAAGAGATTTTACTATGAAAATGCATTGGAAAGGGATTATACTATGAAAATGCATTGAAAGGGATTTACTATGAGAAATGCATTCGAAGGCGATTTTATGATGAAAATGCATTGAAAATGATTTTATTATGAAAAAAATGCATTGCAATGTGGTTTTACTATGAAAAATGCATTGGAAAGTGATTTTATTATAAAAGACTATTGAAAAGTGATTTTAATATGAAAATGCATTGGAAAGGGATTTTATTATGAAAATGCATTGGAAAGGGATTTTATTATGAAAATGCATTGAAAAGGGATTTTACTATGAAAATGCATTGGAAAGGGATTTTACTATGAAAATGCATTGGAAAGGGATTTTATTATGAAAATGCATTGGAAAGGGATTTTACTATGAAAATGCATTGGAAAGGGATTTTATTATGAAAATGCATTGAAAGGGATTTTATTATGAAAATGCATTGAAAGTGATTTTATTATGAAAAAATGCTATGAAAATGCATTGGAAAAGGGATTTTACTATGAAAAATGCATTGGAAAGGGATTTTATTATGAAAATGCATTGAAAGGATTTTACTATGAAAATGCATTGAAAGTGATTTTATTATGAAAATGCATTGGAAAGTGATTTTATTATGAAAAAATGCATTGGAAAGGATTTTATTATGAAAAATGCATTGAAAAGGGATTTTACTATGAAAATGCATTGGAAAGTGATTTTATTATGAAAATGCATTGAAAGGGATTTTTTATGAAAATGCATTGGAAGGGATTTTATTATGAAAATGCATTGGAAAGGGATTTTATTATGAAAATGCATTGAAAGGGATTTTATTATGAAAATGCATTGAAAGGGGATTTTATTATGAAAATGCATTGAAAAGGATTTTATTATGAAAATGCATTGAAAGGGATTTTATTATGAAAATGCATTGGAAAAGGGATTTTACTATGAAAAAAATGCATTGGAAAGTGATTTTATTATGAAAATGCATTGAAAGGGATTTTATTATGAAAAAATGCATTGAAAAGGGATTTTATTATGAAAATGCATTGAAAGGGATTTTATTATGAAAAATGCATTGAAAGGATTTTATTATGAAAATGCATTGAAAGGATTTTATTATGAAAATGCATTGAAAAGGATTTTATTATGAAAATGCATTGGAAAGTGATTTTATTATGAAAATGCATTGGAAAAGTGATTTTACTATGAAAATGCATTGGAAAGTGATTTTATTATGAAAATGCATTGGAAAGGGATTTTACTATGAAAATGCATTGAAAAGGATTTTACTATGAAAATGCATTGGAAAGTGATTTTACTATGAAAATGCATTGAAAAAGTGATTTTATTATGAAAATGCATTGGAAAGGGATTTTATTATGAAAATGCATTGGAAAGGGATTTTACTATGAAAATGCATTGAAAGGGATTTTTTATGAAAATGCATTGGATTTTTATTATGAAAAATGCATTGAAAGGGATTTATTATGAAAATGCATTGAAAATGTATTGGAAAGGGGATTTTATTATGAAAATGCATTGAAAGTGATTTTATTATGAAAATGCATTGAAAAGGGATTTTACTATGAAAATGCATTGGAAAGGGATTTTATTATGAAAATGCATTGAAAGGATTTTACTATGAAAATGCATTGGAAAGGGATTTTACTATGAAAATGCATTGAAAAGGGATTTTACTATGAAAATGCATTGGAAAGTGATTTTATTATGAAAATGCATTGAAAGTGATTTTATTATCAAAATGCATTGAAAGGATTTTATTATGAATATGCATTGGAAAGGGATTTTATTATGAAAATGCAATGTAAAGAGATTTTACTATGAAAATGCATTGGAAAGTGATTATACTATGAAAATGCATTGGAAAGGGATTTTACTATGAGAAATGCATTCGAAGGCGATTTTATGATGAAAATGCATTGGAAAATGATTTTATTATGAAAATGCATTGCAATGTGGTTTTACTATGAAAATGCATTGGAAAGTGATTTTATTATAAAAGACTATTGAAAAGTGATTTTAATATGAAAATGCATTGGAAAGGGATTTTATAATGAAAATGCATTGGAAAGGGATTTTATTATGAAAATGCATTGAAAAGGGATTTTACTATGAAAATGCATTGGAAAGGATTTTACTATGAAAATGCATTG